TTATATATTACTATATATTATATAGTTTTTATTATTATAATTGCGGGTAAAATGTGCGACAAATTATATTTTCAACAAATTAAACGATCGTAGCATTTGTTTTAGACATACAATAATAATCTACTGTTAATAATAAGGCATCCCTTCATACAAACTAAATATATATAAATAAATATTTAGACACAAGAAAATTGTCGCATATTTTATCCGCCGATTATTCACTACTGAAATGAATCGTTTCATTCAATGCGTGTATAAATATATTTTGTGTTTAAATATTTCGTTAATTAAGTAAAGAGTTTTTTGTAAATAACTTTTTTGCTTTCGTTTTTATGGCAAAGAATATCTGATTTCACGGCGATATATATGTCGAGAGCAGGCATACATGTTTATCCCATGTTTAACAAATACCCTGATCATTTTATTAAGTGAGCTTTTTATAAAATTATGGTCTAATATATTTTATGATTATTATTCTATAATAACTAATCTATGATAATATAATTTATTACAAATTACATTGTTTTGACAAACGACTACTGTTTATGATTACTCAATGGATTAGTCCTGTGTTTGGATTTAACGAGAGAGAGAGAGAGAGAGAGAACTTAAAATTAAAACATTTTTAACATTTCCAGACTATTAGCAAAAAAGAAGATAAGAAATTCTGAATCGATTATTCAAAATCTGCGACAAAAATTGGTAATAAAAATATGTGTTATTTTAAGATTTTTTCTGTATATAAATATATTTTTGTGTGAAAATACCAAACATAATGTACACTATTTCTAACATAATGTCCCGATTGAGTACATGATATCATCGTTTATAATGAAGTTAATATATTCTGTGCGAGAATTTTGCATTCATTGCAATAGAAAGCGTGATATAATCGAGAAGTGAAGCGATTGTTTGACTTTTTGTTGTTTGTCTGTGTGTCCATACATATCAATCATAAGGTTATTAAACTATAGTTTAATAATTATATATTACTATATATTATATAGTTTTTATTATTATAATTGCGGGTAAAATGTGCGACAAATTATATTTTCAACAAATTAAACGATCGTAGCATTTGTTTTAGACATACAATAATAATCTACTGTTAGAGAGAGAGAGAGAGAGAGAGAGAGAGAGAGAATTTTAAATATTAATCCCATATACTTTTTATATTTAAAAATATTAACATTAAAATCATTGTAAGTGATTATCATGTACAGTATATTGTATATGTATTTTTATTTATAACTAGTAATTAATTATTTACACAATTCACGAACTGTTTTGCCCCAAAACCTGAGCTAAAATACATGTATGTATGTAGCGATGCATGTATGTAAATGTATGTAAAATACATGTAAATTATGTAGCAAAAGAAATTACAAAATTCGCAAACTTCGTAAAATAGTTATATTTAATTGATAAAACTAGTTAAAAATGACATATAGATATTGACAATAACATCAATACGTACGGTCCGAATGCAGTGACGTATCCCTTATTAGTGGAGTCGATATAAAACTTGAAGGGCGAGCCCTCGATGTGGTCGTTATTGTGCTTAATGTGAAGCTCGTAATTACCCTCTTGTTTTGGGTCGTATCTGACACTAATGGTGCCATCGTGGTTGTCCACTATAGTCGGCTTATCGCTGCCACTGGCCTGCGTTCCCGGCATAATGACCACTGGCCGCGCACTCACACAACTGCCCTCAAAGTATTGGTTTATAACAACGGGTTGACTGCTTGTCAACAATGGCTGTTCTCCAACCCCGAAGTTTTCGGTGGAGATCGCAGTGACCGTACGATTGGTCCGATTGGCCGGTGCTGTGGATAAGAGCTGTTGATATGGCAGAGGGTGTGCTGTTGGCTGACGCGCGACGACTACTGGTGCTGACGAACCGTTAGCTAATGTCTTGAGTGACTGTCTTCGCAAAACAATTTATAAATAAATATATTTATATATTTTGTAAGCTTTCATTCTCACCCTCTCTCACACACTCTCTCACATCAGACAAATACAGTGAACACTAAACGCTCACAAAAAAAACTTTTTTTAAAGCAATAAAACTAAAGTCAAACACAACACGAGAATCAGGCGCTCATTAATGCGATCGTAGAGACAATTATGAGATATAATGTATACATCGGTATAAAGTTTGTATATTTTTAATATTTTTGTGACCAAAACTGAATTATTTGTTTGCTTTTATAACAAATGCTTAATTAATGCCAATTCACTCAATCAAACCATAGAGAGAGAGAGAGAGAGAGAGAGAGAGAGAGAGAGAGAGAGAGAGAGAGAGAGAGAGAGA